ATTCTAAGTTTCTGAATGAAGTGATTGTGAACAATCATACAGTGGGAATACCGCAAGATGGCCTGGCAACCGCTTCGGAGACCGGGCTGACGGAGGTAAAGTTCCGTGTGGGAAACTCACATATATCAGTGCCCTAGATAGAAGCGCACAGCACATCAGTTACCATAGGCCTCACATGCCATATGTGCCTTTGTATTTTCCAATTGACTCTTTGTATGGTGGCAAATTTAAAAGTTTGTAAAGCTTCAGCACGTCTAGCTTTAAATTTGGGAACACCTGAGCCCATTTGTTTTGGTCGCACATAGAGCCGAATTTATCCAACATTCCCACAGGTTAATTGCTTAGCCAAAGTCATTTAAACGCAATATGATCGTTTTTTTCACGACGAATAATGGGGAATTATTTAGATACACCTGGAACTGTTTGCACAATATCGTGATATCCACAGAACAGCTGGACTCTATGGCATTGCAAAATCTGAACTGCGTCAAAGTGGTACGATTCATTCGTGTAGAATGTGTTTGTTCGGTTGTTTTTTTTTCAATAGCTTGGGGTTGGGTGGGTGGAAAAGGTGAAACAGTTTGTTCGGTGGCCCCCATCCTCTTGATCTGTTTTTTTAATTGAGTGAACTGCTCATTGACGATCCATTGTCATCCGGTTCAGATGTTGTTTGATCAGCTCGATTGTGGTCAGTTCATCTGTCGGATTGGCCCGTGTAGCATAGAGGTCATTCGGGTGCCACTCGAATGCATCTGGTTTGGGTGTACGCGGAGGCTCTATATAAACAAAGTAAATAAATATTCAATGTTACTTGAGGTAATAATAATAATAATAGTATTATTTGTTTTACTTCATTCTAATTTATGGTGTATGCGATCGATGTTAAAGATACTTGGAACTGCATGCCTGTCGCAACCTATTTTCACTCCTCAGACGTAAGTAAAAGTTCAATGAGTCGGTTTCGCTATGCGATGCGAAATTTAGTCGATAGATTATGGTCATTACGCTTACTAGTTGATAGAGTGATTTGTGCCTCAGCTTGCAATATTGTTCTATACGGTCTACGTTCGTGCCAAAGAGTACTATACTGGTTGAGCATCACATTTTACTTTCTGTACGGTATTGTTGTTCATTGTTTTTTTGCATTTCTTGGTCTAACGGTAACCGGTTCGAGATTAGATTTCAATACGCTTTTTATTGGATATATATATATATATAATGATACAAATAATGCTCAGGAAGGAGGGAAGTGGTGAATAAAAAAGGCTATCATACACAGAAGGTGGGACTGTAACACGTGTGCTCCGAGCAGTAAGGTGGTGACCATAACGGATTGTGTATTCCTTCTTTCATAAACTAGTTGACTCTGTTT